TCAGGTAGTATAATGCCTCCAACTTGATTCTTTTTGCCAAGGATTACCTTCGCTATTTGGGGGTCTTTGGTTGGTCCTGGTTAATTTTAAGCTTGTTTGTTCCATTTCTGTGAAAAAGTCATTGGTATTTTGATACAGATGGCATTGAATCTGTGTATCACCTTGGGTAGTATGGCCACTTTCCTAATGTTTTTTCAGTTCAAAAGGAAAAATATCTTTCAATTTTTATGTCTTTTTCAGTTTTTTATCAATTCTGTTGTTGTTTGTTTTCTGAGACGAAGTCTCACTCTGTTGCCCAGGCTGGAGTGCAATGGTGTGATCTCAGTGCACCACAACCTCTGCTTCTCGGGTTAAATGATTCTCTTGCCTCAACCTCCTGAGTGGCTGGGGCGACAGGCGCATGCCACCATGCCCCGCTAATTTTTGTATTTTTAGTAGTGATGGGGTTTCACCATGTTGGTCAAGCTGCGCTCGAACTCCTTACCTTGTGATCTGCCTACCTTGGCCTCCCAAAGTGCTAGGATTACAGGCATGAGCCACCACACCCAGCATTATCAATGTTTTTAAATTATCAGTGTAGAGAGTGTTCATCTTTTCAGTTCAGTTTGCTGCTAGACATATTTTATTTTTCTTCATTTTATTTGGGATGGAGTCCTGCTTTGTCACCCAGACCGGAGTGCACTGATGTGATCTCGGCTCACCACAACCTCTGCCTCCTAGGTTCAAGCAATTCTTCTGAGTAGCTGGGAGTAGCTGGACTGCATCCAGCTAATTTTTGTATTTTTAGTAGAGACAGGGTTTCGCCATGTTGACCAGGCTGGTCTTGAACTCCTAACCTCAGGTGATCCTCATGCCTCAACCTCCCAGAGTGCTAGGATTACAGGCGTAAACCACCACACCTGGCAGGCACCTTTATTTTTTATTGTAGATACAGAAGAAACATTGCCAAAATTGAACATGCCTTTGTGATTTAAGCAACTCAACAAATTAGGTATAGATTATATGTACCTCAATACAGTAAAGACCATATATGATTAATAATGATCAGATTAATAGCTGATACCATACTGGATAGGAAAGAGCAGAAAACTTTTTATTTGAGATCTGGAACAAGACAAGGATGTTTTTATTTTATACTATAATTGACAGCATCCGACCATGTACACTGTAAGACTGGAGCACAAGTCAAATATAGATCACTGATATGTCTATTTCCAGTATGAGTCTGTGTTTATTTATCTGTATGCATATTGTTTTTGTTTTGTTTATGAGTTGTATACTTGTTCTGTTTGTGTATACAGTTGTGGTTTTGAGTAGTCATTGAAATCCTCCTAATTTTACTCTCTATTTATTTGTAAATCTATATTTATGTGTGGGAGAAACACTTTTGCGACTTGCAGATAAGTTCAAAAACTGTCATATGTCTGTATCTCAGATTTTTAGATACTTTTTTTTTTTTCTTTTTGAGGCGGAGTCTCGCTCTGTCACCCAGGCTGGAGTGTAGCGGCCGGATCTCAGCGCACTGCAAGCTCCGCCTCCCAGGTTTATGCCATTCTCCTGCCTCAGCCTCCGGAGTAGCTGGGACTACAGGCGCCCGCCACCTCGCCCGGCTAGTTTTTTGTATTTTTTAGTAGAGACGGGGTTTCACCGGGTTAGCCAGAATGGTCTCGATCTCCTGACCTCGTGATCCGCCTGTCTCGGCCTCCCAAAGTGCTGGGATTACAGGCTTGAGCCACCGCGCCCGGCTAGATACTATTTTTAATTGTCAAAAACACATAAACTTTACAATTTTTTTTTTTTTTTTTTGACATGGAGTCTCAGTCTGTCATGCAGGCTAGAGTGTAGCGATGCAATCTCCATTCACGGCATCCTCCTCCCAGATTCAAGTGATTGTTTTGCCTCAGCCTCCTGAGCAGCTGGGATTACAGGTGTGTACCACGCCCAGCTAATTTTTGTATTTTTTGTAGAGATGGGGTTTCACCATATTGACCAGGCTGGTCTTCATCTTCTGACCTCGTTATCCGCCCACCTCAGCCTCCCAAAATGCTGAGATTACAGGTGTGAGCCACTGCACCCAGCCAAAACTTTACAATCTTAAATACCATTTTTTTCCAAATTTTGTTATTACAATTTAACTTCTGGGGTACGTGTGAAAAACATGTTACATAGGTATATACGTGCCATAAATATTTTTAAGTATTCACCTTAGTCATATTATATCAATATTGTTATGCACTCTATCTCTGGAATATGTTTATCTTGCAAGTCTTAACACTCATACACATTAAACAACTACCTACTTTTTCTGTTTTCTGGTGGTTTACAAAAACAATTCTGTTTTCTAGTTTAGAGTCAGACTGCTTTAGATGTCTCATGTAAGTTGACTCATGCAATTTTTGTGTCTTCTTGGCTGACTTATTTCATGTTACACAGTGCCATCAGTTGGGGGGTGCGATGGCTCATGCCTGTAATCCCAGGACTTTGGGAGGCTGAGGCGGGCGGATCACAAAGTCAGGAGATTGAGACCATCCTGGCTAACACAGTGAAACCCTGTCTGTGCTAAAAATATAAAAAATATTGGCCAAGTGTGGTGGCAAGCATCTGTAGTCCCAGCTACTCAGGAGGCTGAGGCAGGAAAATGGTGTGAACCCAGGAGGTGGAGCTTGCAGTGAGCCCAGATGGCACCACTGAACTGCAGCCTGAGAGACAGAGTGAGACTCTGTCTCAAAAAAAAAAAAAAAGAGAAAAAGAAAAAAAATTTTCTTAGTCATTATTTTTGTATTTTTCACTTCTGTGATTTTTTATGTTTTTAATGTTTTCATTTATATATATATATATTAAATTATATTTAGTTGTGTTACCATTTAGCTCATTGAGCTTTACTCTGGTCAAATTTTAAAACTTTGTTTATCTTCAGTTTTAATTATTGTTCTGAACTTTTGTTTTTGTTTTGTTTTGAGATGGAGTCTCATTCTGTCACTCAGGCTGGAGTGCAGTGGTGTGATCTTGGCTCACTGCAACCTCTACCTCCAGGGTTTAAGCAATTCTTCTGCCTCAGCCTCCTTATTAGCTGGGACTACAGGTGTGTGCCAGCATGCCCAGCTAATTTTTGTAGTTTTAGTAGAGATGGAGTTTCACCATTTTGGCCAGGATGTTTTTGATCTCTTGACCTCGTGATCTGCCTGCCCCAGCCTCCCAAAGTGCTGGGATTACAGACATGAGCCACTATGCCTGGTCTTTTCTGAAAATGTGTGTGTGTGTGTGTGTGTGTGTGTGTGTGTGTGTGTGTCGGAGTCTCACTCTGTCGCCCAGGCTGGAGTGCAGTGGCATGATCTCGGCACACTGCAAGCTTTGCCTCCTGTGTTTACACCATGCTCCTGCCTCAGCCTCCCACGTAACTAGGACTACAGGTGTCCGTCACCACGTCCGGGTAGTTTTTTTTTTTTTTTTTTTGAGGTGGAGTCTCGCTCTGTCGCCCAGGCTGCAGTGCAGTGGCGCGATCTCGGCTCACTGCAAGCTCTGCCTCCTGGCTTCACGCCATTCTCCTGCCTCAGCCTCCTGATTAGCTGGGACTACAGGCGCCCACCACCGTGCCCAGCTAATTTTTTGTATTTTTTAGTAGAGACGGGGTTTCACTGTGTTAGCCAGGATGATCTCAATCTCCTGACCTTGTGATCCGCCCACCTCGGCCTCCCAGAGTGCTGGGATTACAGGCGTGAGCCACTGCGCCCGGTCGTCTGGGTAGTTTTTTTGTATTTTTAGTAGGGACGGGGTTACACCCAAGCGGTCTCTTATCTCCTGACCTTGTGATCCTCCCACCTCAGCCTGCCAAAGTGCTGGGATTACAGGCGTGAGCCACCACGCCCGGCTCCTTTTCTGAAAATTTCAAAATTGTTGGACCATGTTGTTCTAATATTTTGTGTACATTGTAATGTTTGGTTGTTATTTGAACATTAACAAAAAACTATTTGTCACAATCTTTACAATGTAGGTTTTTCTTGACATTGTCTGAAACCAATTGTCCTTGAAGGAGATTATGGTAACCTCTCATACATCTTCTAAGGATGTGTCTTCTCTGGAATTTTGTGTTTACTTTTCAGTTAAAAGTGTTTGTTCATGTTCCTTCTTAACAGTCTCTAGGGCCAGGCGCAGTGGCTCACGCCTGTAATCTCAGCATTTTGGGAGGCCGAGGCCAGCAGATCACGAGGTCACAAGATCGAGACCTTCCTGGCTAACACAGTGAAACCCCGTCTCCACTAAAAATACAAAAAATTAGCCGGGCATGATGTCGGGCGCCTGTAGTCCCAGCTATTCGGGAGGCTGAGGCAGGAGAATGGCGTGAACCTGGGAGGCGGAGGTTGCAGTGAGCCGAGATCACACTAACGCACTCCAGCCTGGGTGACAGAGCGAGACTCTGTCTCTAAAAACAAAAAAAACCACAGTCTCTAATCACTTGTTCCACCTCTTGCCTGTATTTAGCATGGCAGTCTGCTCCTGAAACATTTACATTTGGTTTCAGTAGACCCAATCTGTCCTCCCAAAGTATACCACCATTTCAGCACTCTGTGGTATTAGAGACAAAAACCAGGCTCTGTAAAGACACCCAAAAGCCAGAAGTAAGGATATCTGTATCAGTATTTTTCTTCTCTTTAAAGGAAGAAGCCAGGAGTTGATACTTCATTCCTAATGGCATAGTGCTATTGGGGAGGAGGAAGAGCTGTTGGTGGGTAAATGTAGCAAACATTCCTTCCTGTTCAATGTGGCTCTTGGCATTTTGCTTACCTGAGGCATTGCATACAATTAACTCATTTATAGGTTTCACAGAAAGGCATCTTTTTTAGTACATGTTTGCTACATGTATATGTCTGTAAAGAAATTATGGCCTGTGGGATTTTGTTATGCCATCTAACTAATGTAGTTTGAATAATTTCATAAGATTTACAAAGTATATTTATATGAATATACTAAGTGGGATAATTTGTAATTTTTATTCCTTTCAGCTGTGTGTTCTCATTTCACCCAAGACCGTTGGCCAGTGCAGGGCATAGAAGATTCATTCCACAGTCTTATACTGAGAAGATATGAGAAATGTAGACATGAGAATTTACAATTAAGAAAAGGCTGTAAAAGTTTGAATGACTGTAAGTTGCAGAAAGGAGGTTACAATGAATTTAATGAATGCTTGTCAACTACCCAGAACAAAATATTTCAGTGTAAAGCAAACATCAAAGTTGTTAGTAAATTTTCAAAATCAAACAAACGTAAGACAAGACATACTGGAGAGAAACAATTTAAATGCAAAGAATGTGGCAAATCTTTTACTAAGTTTTCACACCTAACTCAACATAAGATAATTCATGCTGGAGAGAAACCCTACACATGTGAAGAATGTGGCAAAGCCTTTAAATGGTCTTTAATATTTAATGAACATAAGAGAATTCATACTGGAGAGAAACCTTTTACTTGTGAAGAATGTGGCAGCATCTTTACCACATCCTCACACTTTGCTAAGCATAAAATAATTCATACTGGAGAAAAACCCTATAAATGTGAAGAATGTGGCAAAGCCTTTAATAGGTTCACAACCCTTACTAAACATAAGAGAGTTCATGCTGGGGAGAAACCCATCACGTGTGAAGAATGCAGGAAAATCTTTACCTCATCTTCAAACTTTGCCAAACATAAGAGAATTCATACTGGAGAGAAACCCTACAAATGTGAAGAATGTGGCAAAGCCTTTAATAGGTCCACAACCCTTACTAAACATAAGAGAATTCATACTGGAGAGAAACCCTACACTTGTGAAGAATGTGGCAAATCCTTTAGACAGTCCTCAAAACTGAATGAACATAAGAAAGTTCATACTGGAGAGAAGCCCTACAAATGTGATGAATGTGGCAAAGCCTTTGGACGGTCCAGGGTCCTGAATGAACATAAAAAAATTCATACTGGAGAGAAACCCTACAAATGTGAAGAATGTGGCAAAGCCTTTAAGCAGTCCTCAAACCTTAACAGTCATAAAAAAATTCATACTGGAGAGAAACCCTACAAATGTGAAGAATGTGGCAAAGCCTTTAGACGGTCCACAGATCGGAGTCAACATAAGAAAATTCATAGCACAGCTAAACCCTACAAATGCAAGGAATGTGACAAAGCCTTTAAACAGTTCTCACTCCTGAGTCAACATAAGAAAATTCATACTGTAGATAAACCCTACAAATGTAAAGATTGTGACAAAGCCTTTAAACGGTTCTCACACCTGAATAAACATAAGAAAATTCATACCTGAGAGAAATCCTACCCATGTGACAAACTTTTGGATGGTCCACAAACCTGAATGAACATGAGAAAATTTATACTGGAGAGAAACCCTGGAAATGTGAAGAACATGGCAAAGTTCTTTACCTCATTCTCAAAACTTGCTAAACATAAGAGAATTCATACCAGAGAGAAACTGTACAAATGTGAAGAATGTGGCAAAGCCTGTGGATGGTCCACAAACCTGAATTGAGCAGAAGAAAATTATTACTGGAGATAAACCCTGCAAATGTAAAGAATGTGACAAAACCTTTAAACAGTCCTCACTGGTGAATAAATATAAGAAAAATCATGCTGGAGGGAAGCTCTACACATGTGGCAGAATGTGGCAAAGCATTTAATTGGTCCTCAACGCTTAATAAATATAATTCATACTGGAGATGAACTTCACATGTGAACAGTGTGATAAAGCCTTTAAATGGTCCTCAATCCTTAATGAACATAAGCAAATTCATGCTGGAGCAAAATGCTTGACATGTGAAGAATGTTGCACAGTCTTTACCACATCCTCAAACTTTGTTAAACATAAGAGAATTTATACCAGAGTGAAATCCTACACATGTAAAGAATGTGGCAAAGCCTTTGATAGGTTCTCAACCCTTACTGTACACCAGAGAATTCATTCTGGGGAAAACATGCTATAAATGTGAAGAATGTGGCAGAGCCTTCAGACCATCCACAAACCTTTATGAAAATTCACATTTGAGCATAGAAGATTCATTCCACAAACTTATCTTGAGAAGATATGAAAGATGAATATAAGAAAATTCATACTAGATATAAAACCATAGAAATGTAAATGATGTGGCAAAACCTTTAATCCATACTCCAGGCTTCTTAAACATATGAGAACTCATACTGGAGGAAAGTCTTACAAATGTGAAGAATGTGGCAGTCTTTAAATCTTCCTCAAGTCTTTTCTAATCATAAGATAATTCACACTGGAGAGAAAATGCAAACATGAAAAGTGTGACAAAGCTTGTAACCACACCTCAATCTATTCTAAATATAAGAGAAATGATACTGGTGAGAAGCCATAAAAATATGAAAAATGTTGCAAAGCCTTCAAATGCTTGTCATATCTTACTGTATATATATAATTCCTATTGAATAAATCCCCTGGAAATACAAAAAATGTGGCAAAACTTTTACCAATGCTCATCTTTTTGCACATGATAGCCTTTACACTCAAGAAAAGTTGTAGAAATATAAAATATATAGAAAAGTTATATCTACTCACATTTTACTAACTAGCAAAGTTCGTACATATTAAAAACATTATAAATGTAATTTCTGTTGAAAGACCTTTCAGAAAATTATAGGCCTTAAAAGTGAAGAAGAGTATTCTTAAGACAAGCAATACAAACATAAAGAGGGTTGTAGTACCTGTACTTCTATCATGGATTTTGTTATACACATTTTGTAATAGGGGAAAACCCTGAAGGAGACTTTCTTCAACATCAGAAAATTTATATTGGCGAGAAATCCTACAAATGTAGTAAATGTGGAAAAACATTTGTTCAAAAACTGCAGCTGAAAAAACACCAGAGAGTTTCTGCTAGAATATAATTTGTAGATGCAGTAAATGTGAAGAAATATTTAGTCTAAAATTAAGACTGTAAACATCAGAGGATTTACAGTAGAAAGAACTAAGGAACTAACACTTTGGACACTGCAGTAAATCAGAGTATTAAATATAAAAAATAATGCAAAGTTGAACCTGTTAGAGAATTTCTTTGTATATAAGTTGAAAAGATTTTTGAAGAGATACTACATTTAAAGTATATTTTTTCACTTGAAAAAAGTATAGATTTTTTGAAAAGCATATAATAGTTAATTCAACTCAAAAAATTTATTTCATACTATTTCAACACATTCCTGTTTATATGAAAGTGTGTGATGAATCGTTGCTGCGTCAGAGATAAGAGAGATTCTCTTTCATTCAGTGGGCATTATTCATGAATTTTTACAAGAAAGGGTAAGAACATAAATGAAAGATCCATGATGAAAATCTAAGCAGAGAGGCTTTTTTGTAGTTGACAATATTGAGTGATGCATGAGGTAGGTGTTCAGAGTAATATTCTTCTGCATTATAGTGAGAGAAAAACAATCTGTATTTTACTAGTAAATTGTTTTACCAATTATACCTTTATGTAATAAAATACAGTACATTTTTAAATTATTTTAAGATTATGTGGGAACAATTTTTTAACTAAAGAAAATTGTTAACGTGTTGAAATGTTGCTTGAATGAAGTGTCATTATGCCACCAACTTAACACCTATCCCACCTTACTCAAGGGTGTAGGTAAAAGATGGTAACAATGGTAACATAGTTGAATGACATTTTTAGTGTTCTCTTTTTCCAGTGGCTTTAAATAGCAAATATATTGAAGAATATCTTTCCCATTTGTTGCATTTTTACTCTTGTTATTTTCTAAAATTTTTGTGGGTACGTAGTATGCATATTTATCTATGGCATATATGGTCTTTTTCTTATACAGGTATACAACATGTAATATCCCAGAGTAAATGAGTTATTCATCACCTCAAGCATTCATCCTTTGTATTACACACAATCCAATTATACACTTTAATTATTTCTAACTGTACAATTATGATTGTAGTATTAGAGTGTAATTATAATTCATACATTTATGCATCCTGAATACTTTTAAAAATGTTTTACATTTATCTTTGAACATGTGGCATCTTTTCCTGCAAACTTATACAAACGTTAGTTCCCGTTACATGAAGTTAAGTATATAAATGCGTTGCTCTAAAGATAAACCTTAGGTGTAAGAAAATTATGGAGCGATCAATTGTGTTTGTGTGAGTTTGTACCTATTTTCCAAAGAAAATAGCAATATTAGAACAAAGAAGATTACGTTAATACCATGGATAATTTACTGGAAATCTAGAAGCCTGAGACATTCTGAAACCACATTTATATTTTTATTTAATTAATTAAAGTCTAATGGATTGTTGTTGAGAATCTCCCCATATAAATTCCCTGTTTTTGATGCTCATGCTAGAGCTATAATTTCTTTGATTCTCTTTTTTTTTTTTTCACCTCATGAAGTATTTATTATGTGAGCTGGTCAGAAATTATAAGAATGATTTTTATAAAATTTAGTAGTGAACATAAAATTTTTAGATGTAATTTCATAATATATGTATTAAGTTATGTTTTAGTTAGAACATTTCATTTTGTTTTAAGAACCCTATATAAGCTGTTTTGTTTAGTTATTGTTCCTTTCAGTTTTTATAATTGACATAAATTAGTTTATTTTACCAATTTGTTCAGGTAAGTACTGGGAAAACTTTGTCAATTATGGGGATGTTTTGATGTATTATTGTAGTGAACAAATAGAAAGTTCTGGGTGTTTAATAGTTACTTCATGATTAGCCATAAATATTCCTGGAGTTAATTTGTAGCTCCAAGTAAGAGATTGAAAATAATCTGTGGTGAACAGATTCATTGTGGTGAACAGATTCATTGTGGTGAACAGATTGATTGTGGTGAACAGATTGATTGTGGTGAACAGATTCATTGTGCATGTGGAGAGGACATCTGTTCCCAGGCTGCAGAACCAACTCATTATGAATGTAAAGAGGATTTGTGTTCTTATTTTCTACTTATCTTCAGTTTTGTGATGTCTTTATGTATTTATGCCCAGGTATGTATGCCCCAGAGCCTTTCTTCATTTTTGTATTATGGCTAGTTTCTCACTGTTCTCTTCATGCCACGTAATTTCACGTGGACTTTAGGTTCTGATGAGAAGTTTGAAGTTTTTACTATGGTAAATTGTTTTTAACTGGGGTGTTTGAGGTTATTTATAGGTTATCAGTGCAACATTTAGATCACGTAATTGAGATAAGAGTAATTCACTGTCCACAGGTAAGAGGATTAAGTCAGTCGACATTGTTTTTCTGTGTTTGTAAAAGAAAAATTGTAGGAGATTCTATGACAAAGTGTGTAAATTGTAACAAAAGCTAGAACAAGGAAAGCATTAATATAAGTGGGTTGTATATTGTACCACCATATGTAGAAACACAGCAGAATTTTGAAATTTCTTAAGAGGAAATATATCTTAGTAATAAAATTTTTAGGCCTGGGGTGGTGGCCTAAAAAGTGCTGTAATCCCAGCACTTTGGGAGGCTGAGACAGGCAGGTCACGAGGTCAAGAGCCAAGATCATCCTGGCAAACATGGTGAAACCCCATCTCTACTGAAAATACAAAAATTAGCCAGGCATGGTGGCACGTGCCTGTAGTCCCAGCCACTCTGGAGGCTGAGACAGGAGAATCGCTTGAACCCAGGATGCGAAGGTTGCAGTGAGCTGACGTTGTGCCACTTCAGTGCATCCTGCCAGCAGAGCAAGACCCCATCTCAACAACAACAAAAAGAAAGAAAATTTTTAGGAGACAATGGTAAGTGAAGAATTTTACATTTAATTTTCTGTGACATAGTAAAACTTATTTTTCCGTACAAAATCTTCTATTTATTTATTTTAGATGGAGTCCCACTCTGTCACCAGGCTGGAGTGCAGTGGCTCAATCTCAGCTCACTGCAAGCTCTGCCTCCCAGGTTCAAGTGATTCTCCTGCCTCAGCCTCCTGAGTAGCTGGGAGTACAAGCGCATGCCGCCAATCCCGGCTAATTTTTGTATTTTTAGTAGAGACGGGGTTTCACCATGTTGGCCAGGCTGGTCTCGAACTCCTAACCCCAGGTGATTTGCCTGCCTCAGCCTCCCTAGTAGCTGGGACT